ATCCCCATCCATCCTGTCACTCACAGAGTGTTTTGGAGGCAGTACTTCTTTATCAGTCTTACTGATTTGTGAGAATATAATTATTGTGAGAATATAATTAATTAGGGGACAAGAATCATACATATCATCCTGAATTCCTTGGGGAAGGAAACACATTAAAAAACAATATAAACAATGAAGTCTGACTAAGGCTAAGGCATGGCAACTCTGAGTGCAAAAATCCATGTGACCACTATATGGCAACAGGAAGACAGAAAAAACTGTGATCATCCATAGTGTTTCTGCCCTGATACAGTATTCCTAACAGCCCCATATCAAAAATGGGGATAATTATATGATATTACCAAAAAAAAAAAAAAACCTGAAGCAGTGTCACAAATTCCAATCAGCTCAGAAACTTTAACATGGTAGTATCAGATCTTTATAGCACTTAAATGAATGAAATTAATTTGTATTTCTGGATTTCATGGGTGAACATTTAAAAAGCAAACTGGAATGTGATTTTATCCAGACGTTAATATGCTTTTCATCAACCAAGTCATCTTCTCTGCCCAAAGAAATCTGGTATATTGCATGCTTAAACTGACAAATGAGCTTTGGCCATCTCAAAACGTGATCCCATTTTATAAACAAGTGATCCCATTTTATAAGCAAGTGAACAAAATAGAAGTCTTGACCAATTTCAGATCAGAAAGGAATGCCTGCACAGATGTGTTTTTAAAAATATTAACATACAACTCAATCATCTGTCTATCCCAGATCCCCGGGAAGTACTCAACAGGCAGACAAAAATGCCAAATCCAGTCTGAACATCTGGCTGACTGTGAGACAAACCACCATAATAAATTATTAAATATTTTTTGAAGTTGGAAACCAGCCAAGAGGCAACTGTGGACTGTTGGATGAAAAAAAAAGGAAAGCAAACTAAAACTGGCTAAGGATGTGGAGAAACTGAATAAAGACACTCCAAATTGCATTAAAAAGCAAATTAATTCACTCAAATATGAAATGAATGATCTTTAAAGATCCTAACAGTGATCTCTACATCAAAGGATTGGAAAGTAGCCAATGTAATAGCCATTTTTTAAAAAAAAAATGGATTAGGGACAAATGCAGGAAATTACAGTCTAATCAGTTTACTGTATGTGCTGGAGAACTTAGCGCTAAACAAATCAAGTATTCTCCTTCTAAACAAATTTGGTTCCTACAAAGTCAAATCCGATCTCACCAATGCATTAGGATGTTTTGAGAGTCATAAGAAGCACATGGGTAAAGGGAGCCAGCAAATATTGGCAGGGTTCACTGATCACACTGTCACTGTGCAATTTGGGGGCTTTGGCTTAATATAATATGTAATCCCAGCCAATAATGACTAATTTGTTAAATCATTATTGAGCCAAACCTTGTACTAATAGGGATTAAATAAATGTTGCTACTTTATTAAAGTCTACTGGTTAATTCAGTTGCATATTAATGTTTAGGTACCTCTGGTCAAATTTTAATGAAACTATAAGAAAATAGAAGTTAACAGAGCCCCTAAATGGTAAAAAGTTAAATCAGATGCTTTTCTGCAAATTTGGATCATTATTTACTATACAGGTGCAGTTTACAGTTGCAAAATAACAAAATAGTAAGGCGAATGCAAAAGCTTGGACTTCTTTCCAGCCACTACTTTGTAACACTTCCTTTGGCAAAAATAGCAGTTCCCAAATGATTTCTGCAGACAGCTAAGAGTTTTTCTAATTTGCTTTGGAATGTTTTTCCCCAATCTTCCTTAAAGAATTCTTTTATTTCAGAAATATTATTAGGTCTTCTTGTACGTACTACATGTCTGAGATCACCCTATTATTCATATGTTGTTATGAATAATATTCTGGTGATTGCAAAGGCCATTCCAAAACATTTATCTTTTTTTTCTTGCAATTGGTCACTGACACAACGAACATGAATTTGGGCAAACTGCAGGAGACAGTGAAGGACAGGGGGTCCATGGGGTCATAAAGAGTCGGACATGACTTAGCAACTGAACAACGACAGTACAATTCTCATATTATGCCATCCAAAAGATAGCATGTAATTGCATTCCTTCTTCTTTTGTTGCTTGGGTGCAAGCATTGTAGAGCATGAAGGCCACAGAACTGGTCATGGGAACATATCAATATACCAATTTGGTTTTGTTTTAAACTTTTGGGGAGGAATAAAATGCTCTGAACTAATAACCTTCTTCAGACGTATAGGCAGAAAAGCCCTACAGTTCCTTTCAAGCCAAAGGTAACATCGTAAGATCTAAAAGTAGAATAGTTCTCATGCACAAAATTGATTCTGAAATTGCTTATTGGCAGTTCTATGAATGTGTATAAAAGGGAAAGACATTTCAGAATGAAAAACCTAGAGAAATAAAACATAGCCAAAATCTTATTCTAGCCACATAACAAAACCCAGGACACATTTTTTTAATTGTTTTCAGATAGGAACACTCTAACACACGGGTGTCAAACTGCCGGCTCGCGGGCCGGATGCAGCATAGCGAAACCGCACCCACCCCATTGCCGGCAATAGCAAAAAAGTTGTGATACGTCGCAACACGTCACGTGACATTGCAAGTTTGACAACCCTGCTCTACAGATACTTTTGGTATTGAAACAGCCTCTTTTTGATGTTGTTCTCTATGCCTGGAGTACTGTTGCTGCATAAAACGTAATACCGAAATCCTGAGTTTTGCATGTTCATTATTGAGTTCCAAATAGGATGAAGTAGGTTGCACCTATAAGACACTTTTTTCCTAATCATTATTATGACTTTCACTTAAAATCCTGCAGTTATAATTTAGTGAATGTGTAGAATTCATATTTGTGTACCCATTTTTGTCAACTGTCCTTCAGATTCCCTAAGATAGCAGGAAAAGTAGCTATCTCTAAACCATTGGAATAATTATTCCAGAGAATAACAGAACAGAAGCTGAGATGAACAGAAAAGAGCAGGTGCAAAGACCAAGGAGCCTCAGAAGCCCACTTCTGAACTACTCTTGGGTGGCCCCAGAAGATGCACATCAGAGCTAATATCTTCCCTTTCTATACAAAGGGCAGATGTCACAGAGCAACCTCTTCTTGCAGGCCTTTGAAAAAAAAGGCAAGTTAGGAGATGTGCAAATATTTACTCCAATCTCCAAATAGTTGTTTATCCTCCAGGATGAATGGGTCACCTATGGGAAGAGGGCAAAAGGACCATCCACTTTCCCTTCATGCTCCTCCCCCACTTCCATTTGAATGGCAACAAGGAGAAATTATAAGAAATAACTAGGTTACGCTTGAACGCACTTTTCCTTCAGGAGGTTGTATCTCCCCACTTTCCTTTGTATTGGATAGTGCAGCTGGAAACATTGGACCCAGTTGGATTGCACTGAGTCAGTGAGAAAGCAAAAGCTGCTTTCTCCAGTCTCTTTGTTTTGGAATGCACTGGGCTCTTTGTACCGCCTTACATTATTGGATACTTGGAGGGAGGAAGCAAATGAGCTCTCAGTTCTACCCAATTGCACTTTTACACCCTTTCTCTGTGAATCCTAGCAATGTGGGTGAGGCCAGGGTGCCACACGGCTCCAAGATGTCTTCAGTCGTACAACAGACTAAGCCACTAGTTACATAACCTTGCTTTATTGAATATCCCAGTTGTGTGGGTTTGCACCAGACAATGAACTAGAAATTAGCCAACCAAACTGAGCTTGCTAGAGGTTTCAATCGGTTCCTAGTTGAGTAGCAGCAGTTTACTGCTACCATTGGAGGAGCCGAAAGAGACTTTCTGGACTGTAGGCAAGCTTGGCTCATGTGTCTTTCCACATCTACAATCCTGGTGAGATGCGTATGCATGGCAGAAAGAAAAAGGAGAGTGCGATGGTCCTGCCCACTGAAGCTTTGACCCCAATGCATTTTCCATCGTCTTTTCCTTGAGCCAGAAGGAACCCCACCATGCCTGACAATGAGAACAATTAATCAGTGGAACAGCTTGCCTTCAGAAGTTGGGGGGGGGCTCCATCACTGGAGGTTTTTAAGAAGAGACTGGACAGCCACCTGTCTGAAATGGTTTAGAGCAGTGGTTCTCAACCTGTGGGTCGGGACCCCATTTGGGGTCGATCGACCATTTCACGGGGGTCGCCAAGCAAGGCTGTCCGCCATTTTTTTGTTCGCCATTTTTTTTGTCCGCCATTTTTTTTCCCCTTTTCCGGCGGGTGCCTTACCTCCCTTGGGCTGGGCTAGCTGGTGGTCGGCCTGCTCCGTCTCTGCCGCTTGCCAGCTACGCCTCGGCCAGCGCAGGGGGCAGAACCACACATGCACGGAGCTCTCGGGCAGGGAAAGTCCTCGACTTACGACCGGTTGGGTAGTCCTCGACTTACGACCAGTTTAGTCCTCGACTTATGACTGGTTTAGTCCTCGACTTACGACCGGTTTAGGCCTCGACTTACGACTGGTTGGGGTCGCGGCATTAAAAAGGTTGAGAACCACTGGTTTAGAGAGTCTTCTGCTTGAGCAGGGGGCTGGACTAGAAGACCTCCAAGTCCCTTTCAATTCTACTATTCTGTTATACTCCTCAGATAAATAGCATATATGACCCACTACTTCTTTGCTGCCTCTGACAGGGGTGATGGGCAATATTTTGTTGCCTGTGGGGACCTAGGCTGATGAGATCAATGGAGGCAGAGTGACCAAGATGCAGACAGCCAAACGCTGGAGAGAACAGCTCATCATCCATCAGCCATGTACCCTCAAAAGAGCTAAGACTGGGCGCTAAGACGATTGGTTTCGCCTTGGTTTCGCCCATTAAGCGAGGCCTGAGGAACGAGCGAGAGCCACTGAGGCCGGCCGAGCGGTCTTCGGAAACGGCGGCAGCGGCGACAGCTCCTCCTCCTCCTCCTCCTCCTGCAGAGCCTAACGGCGGCGTGACTCTCAATGCGCAGGCACCGGGGTGTAAATAATACGTGGCTTCTGAGGCTGGAGCAGCTCAGAAGAGAGATGGCAACCGAGCGAGAGATCTGCAGCTAACCCGGCTGCATTTGCTCGCCCGGTAGGAAAGACGGAGGAAGAAGAGGCGGATCAGGTAAACCAGTCGCTTTGTACACACTGCAGTCGGGCTCACACCCGGGCTCCGATTGATGGTTTTTTGCGCCGTGCCATTTCCTGATCCGTGCCTCCGAAGCAAGCCGGGCTACAGGAGAGCCGGGAGAGGGAGAAAATGATCTCTGCTTATGCAAAGTGCGGGCTCGAGTTTGTGCGGGCAACTCCGTCCTGCAGTTTTAGAAAAAGTAGCGAGGGGAAAGAGACAACATGCAAAAGAAAAAAAAAAGAGCAGTAATAATGAATGCATGGCCATTTTTTTTAAAAAAAAAGAAAAAAAGAAAGACAGTTGTTTGCAGTCCGGGTGGGATTTGGGGAGGGGGCGGTTCTAGAGCGCTATACTGTCTTTGTTTTGAGTGGTATTTTATTTTCCAGACTGGCCTGCCGGTTTTCAAAAATATAATCAGGTCGGCCGGGGCGGGGAAGAGAATGGACTAAATGGAAGTGAAGGGTTTAGATTAGGCGAACCGTTCGTCTGGAGCGTCGAAGAGCCAGACTCTTCAAAGGTTTTATGGAAACAAATATCAGAGAGAGGAAAAGAAGTTTGACGTTGAAGAATAAATGAGAGCCTAGGTCACTGAAACCATTTGCAGAGCTCGTTGCTGGCCTTTAGCACCTTGGACAGCTCCCACTTGGGAGCGACAGGGCAGAATGAAGGACATGGCGGGAGAAAAAATCACCCTCTAAAAAAAGACAGCAAAAGCTACCAGCTGTGGATTTCTTTCCCAACTGCTTCTTTTCTTCCTTTCAGGAAGGCAATACTTCATTTATTTAGACCTCCCATGTCTAAATTCATCTATTGCAAATTCATTTAGCCCTCCCATGTCTTCTAAAACTATCAGATTACTCCACCCCTTGAGTTTAGTGGAGGAGACTGAGAAGGAGGACATATCCTGCCATTTTTGAAGACTGCCCATCAAATATCTGATCATACAAATAATAACCATTACTTTTGTTATTATTTACCCAAATGAAACTCACATCACATTTTTAAAATGGCTCCTGCATAAAATGTATTGGCTGTCATGTTAGGTTTTGTGTGATGTTATATTCATGTATTACAGCCTATTGTAAACATTATTATTATTTTGCTAGGGTAATGTGATGCATAGTATAATAACTCATGTCATACTGTTGGATAACACAATTTCTCTAGCAGGCTTTGTGATTTGTTCACAGGCAATTCAGTATGTGATTCTAAGCTTAAAAATAACCGTTTGGTGAATATGTGCTTTGTGTGTCATTGGCTAAAAATAAGAAAATGTTTTCTTGATCAAACTTTTGGGGAAATGTAACAGAAATTTTCTTTTTTTTTCAGCTATAAAATAATAGTTTTAGAAGCATTTCCCTTGTGATGATGATTGCTCTGTAGAACATGAAAACATAACTAGATTTCTATGTTCTTCTCAATGACAATAACAGTGTCCTTTGGAACTCCTTGCCTCTTTTTCATGCTGTGTATCTCATCTCCATTGCTAAAAGAAAAAAAACATTTTTTTAAATATAAAAAAATATTTCTTGCAGTTCCTCTGACTATATACATTGCTTCTTTGTATGGAAGGGGGCAGAAATGCAGAATCCATGAGCATAATGGACATAGAATACTATTTGATAAAGACATTAAAAATGTCTAAAGTTGTGATATTAAGGTCATAGTTTTAGTCAAAGAAGTCATCTAGCTTAAGGAATTTGTTTCAGCTTTTTTTAACTTAAAAAATGGAAACATGGCATAAAAGATCAGTATATAAAGGTGATAATCAAGCAAAATTAATTATTAGTTGTTCAGTATCAATATATGGAAAATATTATCTGTAACTTTTTTTCTCAGAAGATATATTAATCATAATCTGAGCACACATGCGTGTATGTATATAGATTGGTTTTACTTGAAAAATAAAACTGGGTATTTTAAATCAACTTGAATATCAATTATCAATTGGAATTAAAAATGATACTTTGGAAAATAGGTGCATGCATATAAGCTCTCGTCCCAAACTTATTAAAATTATATATATATAATTTTGCTTGCTTGAGTAGAGAATGAGATCATTTGCACTGAGGTTTTACTTAGACATTTTTTTCAATGAACTATTCTTTCTTGTTAGTGGTATTTGCACTAAAACACAGTTTTTGGATTTTTTTTCTTAATATAAAAAGTATTATAGATCAGAAAGAGCAAGTGTGCATAACATTAAAAGAAGCTCTATTTTCTTTATTTGTCCATACATTGATTGTGATAAGTTTTATTAATTTTTCAGTTAGTTTAGTGTTTAAATTAAGAATTATTTCTGGTTATTCATAAAAATGTCACAAATTGGGTTAGAAGAATTCATTTTAGTCTTTCTTCTTTTCCAACTCTGTCCTGTATACTGCATATAGTTGATTTATTCACAAATTTGATTATGCCTACAACATACCTCTGTAGTAAAATCATACTGGAAAATCATTCAAGACAGCTTTTACCATGGTAACTGAAGATGCTATAGGATTACCTAATATGAAACTACATGTCCTAACAATCTGATTGCATTTTTGTCATTTCTTGGTGATCTTACTGATACTATTGTTTAACCACAGTTATAAATGTTTGTACAAATTAAATTTAAAAATTGTTTTCCTTTGGAAAACTGTTTTTTCCTTTGGACAGGCAAATGATTTGTCATATTTTACCATTCATGTTTATCTGTGAAAATGGGCATCTGTTGATACTTTCTTCCTCTGTAGTTACGGCAGCTTATTTTTCCTCTGCTGATCAATTTACTTTCTTCCTCCTGCTAAAATTACTACTGTAATTTGTTGCTGGCTGTTCCTATTAGATTTGCTCAAGCATAAGACAAACAGCTGCCTTTATAAGATGATATTATGAAATGGATTCCCTGAATATGAATATTTACAGTTGATTTGAGAGCTTACTTAAGAAATTCCTTTAGCAACTCCTTTTTTTTTTTCTAATCCACAGTGTATCATTTTCAGAGAAAATCCATATACCATTCTTGAATGCAATCACTCTTTTGCTGTGTTGCCTTTCCTTTTTCTGTGATTGGCCTGTCCACACGTGGAACAGGACACTATGGCTATATCACCTGCAGATGAACTTTGCACAGCTCCAAGCATTCTCTTCTCAGTTGAGAGGATTGCTTGAACTGCAGATAGCAGAGAGCATTAAGTCCTTGATGTCAAGAGAGAAATGGATCCTCAGAAGAATCTGTCTCTATGAATCCCAGTTTGGCAGTCTATAACTTAAAACATTCTTTCTAACAAATTTTTAGAAAGGTTCTACCTTGGATTCAACATCATGGATATATATAGTCTGAAAGCTAGATGCCTGCCTGAACCCTTAATGTTCCAGAAATCTTTCTGGGTATTCTCCCTAAAGCTATTAAAGGGTGGTTGTTTTTTTAATAATGACACTTCACTTGTGGATTATTATCCCAAGAGGGTTCATCATGTACCATATTATTTTTTCACTCAAGACAAAGGTGTTCCCCCCCCCCCATGCATTTTATAGCTTGTACCAGAGGTCTCCAAATTTGACAACTTTAAGACTTGTGGGCTTCAACTCACAGAATTCCTCAGCTAGCCATTCTGGCTGGGAGTTCTAAGAGTCGAAGTCCACAAAAAGTTGCCAAGTTTGGAGACCCCTGGGCCTATTGATTTATAATTTTATAATGTTAGAAGAGCTTCTTTTATTAAATTTCCCTCCAGTGATTATTGCAAGTGTTGCATTCATTGTCTACCATTTTAATTTTTAGTCTTATGTAATTTCTGTTATTAGATGAATTAAAATTAAAATACCTGTATGATTCCCCAATACAATTAGTCAATATTTTATTTATTTATTTATTTATTTATTTGGATTTTTTTTTAATCCATCCTTTATTATTTTTACAATATGCATACCTAATACCCCTTCCTCCTCCTATTTTTCCCAAAACAATAATCCTGTGAAGTAAATTGGAGAGAGAGTGACTGGTCCAAAGTCCCCCAGCAATGAATTATGAAGCATACCAAGTTGAACTTTGCTTATGTACATGAAATACCAATTGGACCAATAGATCACATCATAAATTGAATGCATTCAACAGCTGGGGATCCATACATATCATGTGACAGTCAGCAGTAGATGGATGCTATTGCTTAGCCAAAATCAAGTGGGAAATGAGTCTCCACATCATTTTTAATAAGCAAGTTTTGTCAGAGAATACCTCACTGAATCTGTCATTGTTACATGAGCCATGAATTGCTTCCTTCCCAAAGTTACATACTGAATGGACTGGATTACACCCTATTGTTAAGGATGGATTATATCGCCAGTAGTGCATATAAATAATGCTATATGAGTTTGACTGCCTCCAAGAAATGTTCACCAGGAAAATATGGGACATTATTCAGGGGCCATGATCATTGACTGTGATTCAGAATGAATTAGATTGATAATGTGTGCAGTATTATAGAGAGGTATATTATTGTTCTCATTGATATTTCTTTCTCATTGGTGGAGGGAGAAAAGGAAATTAAAGATTGAGGTAGGATGCTACATTAGAACGATCTTTTGAATTAACTGCTTTCTCTCCAATTAGAAAGTCTAGAGTCTAAAGAAATTTCAACTGTCCTGTAGACAGCAAAATTAACACTAACAAAAGATGATGTTGCCGACATAAACTTTGTCAGATTGAATAGCCTGTTGCTAAAGTGTGCACAAATGGGTTAAATACACAGCAAGGGCTTCATCAGCCTATGGATGAAGTTGATAGCATTTGTTTGGGTTATTAATTGCTTTATCACATTTGCCAGAGCAGATTGCAGTGAGCCCAGTTGCCAGTGGAAAGGTTTTGATATATCACTACTTCAAACTAGTGCAAAAATAATCATCCTATGCCCTACTTACATTGACAAGTGTAATGCTATGATAGCTAAATCAACTTTCAATGAACTGCAAATATCATTTCCTAAAGGGTAGCCAGGTTATCTGTTGCGATAAAAGCAAGGTCATAGGTCAGTACTTTAAATTTAACATCACTGAGATATTATCTTCTGCAGTGGATAATTGTGCAAATAATAAAGCTTATGCCATATGGTAATTTTTAAGATTAGTCTTTGTTATTATTAGCCTTATTAACCTAACAGTATTAACAGTATTTATAGGTCGACAGTACAATTATTAACAGTATTTAGAGGCCAACCTATTACAGAATGGGTGTCTCACAACAAGAAATAGTTGAATTATTTAAAATACAACAATAACACAGACAGTAAAAGTTAAACACCGATGTGGTTGCTAAAACCAGCTAAAAAGTAAAGCAGAGAAACTGGTGTGAAATTTTTTTAAAGGAAAATGCAGTTGTCAGGCAATTAACTCTCTTGCCCCAAAAATCATCATTCAGTCCAACCTTTTGTGAAGAACCAAGTGCTATAAAGACAGAGGGCTTATGCATATTCAAAGGACTTGTTGGCTGTAATTCAATTGGGTAGAACTAAAGTTGGACAAACCATTGTATCTCTCCGTCCAAGTTTCTGGTTTGAGTTCAATATATTTCAGAATTCTTTGCCAATGCAGTAATTTCTTCACATGTGATACAGCTTTTCTCATGATTATTGCTACTCCAAAAAAGAAGCCCCAAACATATTATTCCCCCACAACTACAAGAGTTTTTCTCTACAATACTATGACTAAGGGTTCATAATTCCAATGCAAGAGTGATTCAAGTTGGCATGTCCATCAAATATATTATACATGCTCTTTCCTTGCCCTGATACAACAAGCCATCCTCACAAATAACTCCACATACAATATTGGGCCATAAATTGCCCATTCAAAGGACAGTTCATGATAAAAGAAAGTAATGGAGCATCAAAGCAAATATTTACCAATTCTGTTTTGAAAAGACTTGAATAACATTAACACCAATGTTACGGACTTTGAAATTCTCTGGAGGTTCTAAATTCAAGCTATTGAAAAAAGTGTTTGCACATTAAAAAAGGAATCCATCTGTTACAGCCAAAAAGCACAATTTTATACAGAATTGCTGTCCTATGCTCGTTAAAAATATACAACTCATAAGAGGTTGAAAAAATACAGTGCACATTTACCCCAAACCTTGATATAATCTGTAGAATTTGAGAATGGTTGTCATAGTGATGAAAATATCAGGATCTATGCTAGGTTTTGTCATTTGAAACTGATTGCCTTCTGATTTTCATATAATTTAAATATGAAGGTTGGTGTTCTTCCCCTTCACAATTTATCTGAGCAGCAAATTGTTGTAAATTGCCTAATTGAAAAGGGATGTGATATCTGAACTCATTATAAGAATAAACTTAAAAACAAGAGTAGTGAAACATTTCAATCAAAATGTTTCAGGGAGTTTTATAAAAGGATATCACATCCAGTTTTAGGTAGAAAGTACAGTGATTCACTTCAGATTCTGTTGATCTTCACACTTCACACTTTTTTTTAACACTCTTCCGATTAAACTCATTTTCATGGTTCAGTGCTTGACTATATTCACAGCTCCATTAGATCTGCAATAATCTCAACCATATGACTTTTGGGTTTTGCCTGAAATCATATTTTAGTTATTTATAAATATGAATGGATTTAAAGTTTAAGAGTCTTAGATGCTATATTTATTAACAATAAAGAATCTTATGGATCAAACATATGACATGAGGAAAGTTTGCAAGCATTTTTCCTGCAAGTTGGTTTGGTATGCTAGTAAAGAAAAACTATGAATGATATAGACATTTTTTTCAGTGACTATAGAAACATGAAACGCTTTCTTATATTGAAGAAATATAAGTCAGTAATGGTCAATACTGTCTGATTTACTAAGTGGGTCTAAGATATAGTTTCGTTTTGCTTAATGTGTGAACAAAAGTGAACTATACTGCTCTCTAAGCCACAGTTTATAGCATGTTATGTTTAACAAACTATACTTTATGGTTTTGGAAATTATGGTTAGGACAATATACCAAGCAAACTATGTCTGCTATTGGCTTACCTAAATGGTTTAGCTAATATTGATCACCTGCTCTAATCCCAGAGGACTCTGGGTGGTGTAAAGAAATGTAATAAAATAAAAAATACATAATCATAAAACCCTAATAATAAATGATAAAATGATAAAATAAAAAATAAAGAAGATGAATGTCTCTACTCAGAATCCTTAGGCACTAGAATCTTGCTAAAACAATACCACCATTTAATTGATTGGTTTGAGGCTTTGATTGAGGCTGTACATATTTTATAGGAGAAGGCCTGCCATCCAACCCATAATCCACAAACCTCATAAAGTGTTGATAGGGGAATGGACTTTTAACAGGTCCTCTCTAAATTATTGACCCGGTCATCTAGAAAATAAGAGGTCTGAAAGAACCCATAAGCATGTGTTGGTGTTATTTTAAGAACCAGCTATTCTAATCTAAATATCTAACACTAAATATATTTCATTGGAAAATTTCTCTGGTGAGGTTTTTCAACTTTTTAGAAATCATGCTAATAATTGGCCCAACCCAATTCTAGCTCTGTGGCATCCCAGTGTCCATTCTGTCTCGTTGCAGGTGGGAAGGATGAGTGCGTATGCTGACATTTATGCATCAAAGCAAGGACATCAGGGTTCCACTGAAGGTGGTTACCAGCGCTATGGAGTTCGCTCTTACCTGCATCAGTTTTATGAAGACTGCACAGGATCCATTTGGGAGTACGATGATGATTTTCAGATCCAGAGATCACCCAACAAGTGGAGCTCTACATTTTGGAAGGTACAGCTCCTACCTAATAATTGTCTTGCAGCAGATCTGTGGAGTGTTGACTCCAAAGGTCTCACAACCCATCGGCATTAATGACTGATGAGTTTTTAGCTTTTCCATTATAACTTCATTGTTAATAATTTCGATGGAAAGGTGGGATGTTTATTTAATAAATCAGTAAATACACAGTGTATTTATTCTCAGCTGTCCATCTCTTTTTATTTTGAAAGCAGAAAACTGGAAGGCTTTGATGCAGCTTGTTAGGCCAAATGGTAGATACAAGCTATATAAATCTTCATTAAACTCACTATTTTCTAAACCAGGGGTCCCCAACCCCCGGTCCATGGACCAGTACCGGTCCGCAGCATGCCAGCAACTGGTCCGCACAAACAAGCAAAGCCCTATCCGTGGGATGCAGTCATCATATAAAACCACACACTCTCCAGTCCACGGAAAAACCTCTCTCCATGTAACCGGTCCCTGGTGCCCAAAAGGTTGGGGACCTCTATTCTAAACTATTCCCACTTCAAGATACAGGAATCTATAACTCTGGAACATAAAAAAAAATCAGATATTCAAAATGAATATTGGACCAAAAATCAGTCCTTTTTGCTTCAGAATAAATTGTCCCAAATTCCATTATTGGGATAGTAATAAAAGGAAAATACAGCATTCAAATTAGAAAATCAAATTATTAAATCAAAAGCTCATGTATATATACAGAACAATTTATTTATTGGGGGGTTTTTTTGCTTATTATATATGTCTATGGTAAGTAGGATGATAAAGATCCTACTGATTTTCATGGGACTTAGGCACTGATAAAACTATGGTGTTTATAGACAGCTATCCCTGATCTCAAAACTCTCCAGATGTGATAAGACAGCAATTGCCAGCAAAACCCCAAACTTTTCCACAAGAGAACAGATTCATCAGTCAACAGGATGAAAGCCTTAAGCAACTTAAGTTTCATAGAAGTGACTATAAATATCAGTGACACATTAGGTATGTTTAACATCTAAGACTATAGCCACAAAGCAAAAGCCATCAGAATAGAAAATTGCCTTGTTGATTTCTGAAATCTCTCTGTTTTTCAGGTTGGACTCATCTCGGGGACAATGTTTATGCTGACAGGGATCATAGTTCTTGTAGTAGGGTTTCTGGTAACCCCCAAAATTGAAGCCCTTGGAGTAGAAGATTTTGTGGTAGTGGATACCCATGCTGTCCAATTTAACAGAGCCCTTGATGTGTGCAAGTTGGCAGGAGCAATATTATTTTGCATTGGAGGGACCACGATGGCAGCCTGTTTACTTATGTCTGCATTTGCAAAAAGCTATTCCAAAGAAGAAAAGTACCTGCAACAAAAATTTAAAGAGAGAATAGCAGATATGAAAGCCCAAACATACCCAGTCACAAAAGCCCCAGCGCCTGGAGAATCCAAGATACCCGTTACATTGTCCAAAGTTCAAAATATCCAGCCGTTATCTGAGACCTGATTCCTCTTCTCTCTATCCTAACACACCCTTCTTGTGAATTTGAAAAGGTTGCCTTGATTAGCACTTCAACCTGGGTTTGCAGTGCGGCAGTTCTGCACTCAGCAGGAAAAGAAGCAGGCAGGGGGGAAAAAAACCTATTTTGATAGGAACTACAGGAATGATAAGGAAGTGAAGGTTCAGCCATCACTGGTTTCAATAAAGCATTATTGTGTATGTTGTGAAGGTTTTTTTTTAAGTGAACAGAATCGTTTAGGTTCTCCCCTTCCAGAACGTGGTTCATTCTTCTCCACTTATCTCTTCCTTGTTACATATTTTATTCCTTTTAAATAATGAATATGTCTGTCTGTTTAGTGTGAACAATTTAAATCATGTCCTGTTCAAAAAGAACTGTCAGAGTCCCACAAAAACTCTGTGTGTGCGTGTATCAGACAGTAGAAAGCAGGCAATTTCTGTTTCTATTAGACATGTTTATTCTCCTGGAGAGCAAGCAGAAGCACACCTTGTGCAAACATTTAAAAAAAAAGCCATCATATGCATGTGATTCTATTTTTTTTAATACCCAAAGCTTTCTATCCATTCTAAATTTAGAAATTTAAACCCCTTTATCTTTGGCCTTCAAAGCTTCTTCCTATTGCAATTGTGATTTTTCAGCTTGCCATTCGTTTGAGAAGGGAACACAATTTGCTTGTGTTTTGTATCTCAGAGAGGCTTAATACTGTTTTAAAGACATAGAAAACCTCACTCCCCAAACCAGAAAACTACAGTCACTTCCTCTTGCAGAGTGCAGCCAGCTCTTTGCTTCACCATGCAAATTCATTCCCAACCATTCTATATAACAACAGTAGCCAGTGACAGTGCCATTTTTAAGTCAAAATATATAATATTGAAGGCCAGTTATTTTATCATATTTATCAAAAGCTCATCTTTTTAAAGAGATTACAATTTTTTAATCGTTGAAAGAAAGGCTGCATCAAACCGATTTCTTCTGGGGTCATTCTCAATCCCTCAGCCAACATATATCTTTATTTTTTTAACTCTCCGTTTCTATTAACATTCACCAAGGCTATTGTGAAAAGTGCCCAGTGTTTAGCATGGAAAAGAATACAGAATTAATTAACTCAGTTGCAGGTCTGGCCTTGAGCCCTTATGAATTAAAAAAAAACATGGCCTGGTTATGCTAGACAGGGTGCACAGGTTTACTAGAACAAGGTAAGGGCAATAAAAATATCATCCCAGGCATTTGGATGTGTACATAGAGCTCTTATACTGTACATAGGCATATAGAAATTCTTCCTTTTAACGTCATGGTCATCAAAGACATACTACAACAGCATCAAGTAACCAGAAGAGCAAGAACCAGAACTTTGTATCTCCCTTGACATCCAAAGCAGTAAAAGAGGGAGTAAAGAAGAAGAACGTCCCACACATACACATTACAAACATACATACATACCTGCATACACAAGAGAGAGAAAGCCAGAGCAAGATTGGCCTACTCCATTTGTGAACCACCATCAACCACCATCAACATCCCTATTCGTGATTTGTTATTAATTTCAGCAGGACTGTTGTAGGAAAAATGTCAGGAAGTATCACATTTAGTTTGATGTCTGAGATATTCTTCCATCTTTCCTTGAGTCTGTTTGATCTTGAGTTGAAGTACCAGATATTACATTTCTGATTAAGAAAGCAAGCTTTTCCTTAAGCAGAGAACAGCTGTGAAAATGCTTACTGTTTTACCTTGTTATTAAAAATATAAATCACACCTGTCTCAAGAGACAGTTACTGTCAACCCTTTAATCAATGGAACTAAAAAAATAACCTATGTAAAAATGTGAACTTTGTATTATTTGACAACATGTGTTCCCCTACAATTCCGTATATTTTTTCCAATGGACTAATAAAATTATTGAGAACTAGATTTCTTGATGAGGGATTTATTTATTTAGTTAGTTAGTTAGTTATAGCTATTAAATGTTCACAGTGTCATCTAGGAGTTACTGATTGGGTTCACACCTTGTATGTTTAGTCTTAGTTTATTAAGCAAGTTACCATTGTTTGGGTTCACAAAACACATTAAGCTATACATTAAATAAACAATGCTATGATTTACAGTAATTTGTCAACTTTATTTTATGGAAGTTGGGGAAAGGAAACACACAGTTTTACAGTGATATCTCAGAAGCAGCTTTGGAAAAAAGGCAACTGGACTTCAGTTCTACAATAAAATTGAAATAGTTTGTTGGATGAGAAGCAAAAAGTTTTCAAAGAAAAAAAACAAGAAAACCTAGTTGCCTTTTGGAAAAAGCACCTTTGGGACAGCCATGACCTGGCTGCAAAGTTTAACCTAAGAAACCCTTAAAAAGGTTATTGTTGTTGTTGTTGTTGTTTGCAAAACAGCTAGACAAATACAGCATATACTGAAAACACAAGCCTGTGGGATTTTGTTATTTTAGGAACTGCCATAGCTTAGACATTGAACCCTAACCACAGGTTTTGTATTCTATCACCAATTAGTTGAAAGGAGCACTTCATGGAGCTTCATTAGTCCGAGGTAGACAGACAATAAGCACAATTATGACACTAATTCTATCTTTACTGTAGGGTTACATGAACAGACTCTTGCAAGACTGTATTTTTTCCTTCCCCTCCTTTTATTTTCTGAAAAACTAGGGAGGGTTCCTTCTGAAATGCTTCCTATGCCCCCTCCTTCTCCCTGTGGACAGAGATTCCTTTTACAGGACAATTGTTCAATCTGTGGCTCTTCTCTCTGCCAAGGTCATTCCCAAATAACAGAATAACAGAGTTGGAAGGGACCTAGGAGGTCTTCTAGTCCAACCCCCTGCTCAATCAGGAAACTATACCGTTTCAGACACATGGTTGCAAAAACTCTTAAAAACCTCCAATGTTGGAGCATTCACAACTTTTGGGGGCAAATCATTTCACTGTTTAATTGTTCTAACTGTCAGGAATTTTTTCCTTAGTTCTAGTTGGTTCTCTCCTTGATTAGTTTGCATCAGCAGTAGTGATGACAATCGCACAATATTTTAGAGGGACTGGCAAATAGAAAGGTATCATGGGAAAATGCCCTCAGCTACAAATGTCATGGAAAATATTAAGCACCCCACTGCCCCACAAATCTTTTTCTGCATTAAAAAGTTAATCATAGCAGTCAGTCTTATGGGAGAGATTGCAGCTATTATTAAAACAAGGTATCTGAAATGTGTCAAAAAAATAACTGGGTAAGAATTTCGGTAATTCTTGAAAATGCCTCAAGAAATAATTCAGTAATTCCTCAAGAAGTAATTCTATAAAATGATTCTATCAGTCTTTTCTTAGGATGTACTTTACAGCTATTGTAGCAAACCTTAACTGTAAGACTGATCTTGCTCTTTTCATGGATGTCTTATTCACTGTAATTTTCCCTCACTTCTGTCAAGAAGGTAACATAAGGGCAGTAGCAAGATAGGGCTCTGTGGCCTTTCCAGTGGAATTTTAATTAAAGCCTGGGAAGAACAGAAATGTGACATTTTGAGTCTCCCGGTACAGTTCCATGAAAGACATTCATAGTGACATCTGAGATAGTCACCATATTTCTCTCAATTGCATTTCAATAGCATAGTGCCTTGAAGTTAGATTTAAAAAATAATTTACATGAATTTCTAGGGGAGAAAACCCCTAAAGCTGTCAAGAAGAGTATTGTTCAGAAAAGGGCAGATG